CGGCGAGCGAGGGGGTGGGGGAGGGACGAGAAGGAGAGGGCACTCCCAGAACGCGGCGGCACTTCTCGGACGCCCTCCGGCCTTCTGAGAGGTGCTCCGTGTCTTCGGGGGGGAAGCTTCAAAAACTTCTGAGAAGGCCTCCTGGATGTGGTCCGAGCAGATGGGGTCGGAGGATCGCGCCGCATCGTCGATGCACCACCGATGCATCGACGATGCATCGGCGACGTCGGCGATCGGTTGGCGACGTCCGCGTCAAAAAAATCGGGCTCCACATCGAGCCGCATCGCCGATGCATCGGCGATGCGGAACGATCCTCCGACCCCATCTACCCCGACCCCATCCGGGAGGCCTAGAGACTTCCGAGCCTCCTGAGAAGGCCTCGTCCTTCTCGCTTCCCCCCCTAGCTCGCCGCCGACCTGTGACAACAACTGCCACGCTGGCACAAACAGGTCACGGCCCGAGCCCTACAGTTCGCGCCGGATCGATCCGTGGTATGGTGCCGTGGCCCGAGAGCAGACCGCAGGGGAGCATGCCTGGGCAAAGCGCTCCACTGCTCGCAAAGTAGCTACTCGCGAATGGTCTGGATTCGCCGCGGAGTAGGAGGAGGAGGAGGAGGAGGAGGAGGAGGAGGAGGAGGGAGGAGGGAGGAGGAGGAGGAGGAGGAGGAGGAGGAGGAGGAGAGGAGGAGGAGGAGGAGGAGGAGGGAGGAGGGAGGAGGAGGGAGGAGGGAGGAGGGAGGAGGGAGGAGGGAGGAGGAGGAGGAGGAGGGAGGATTTTTGTCCGACGTTGGCAAGTAGGCACTTTGCGAGCAGTGGAGCGCGCTCGGTGAATGCCCGGGCCCGGCGCCGGGCCAGCCGCGGCACTCTTCGACGGCCCCGGGGCACGGCGCAGGCCCCAGGAGGCCGGCGAGAAGCCGCCTGTCGCGAACCTTTCGCGACGGGAGCCCCTGAGACTACAGTCGGGGCGTTGACCTAAGGAACCCTAAATAAGGAGCGAGGCTCCTTTTTTCCCTAAGTTAAACTTCGATTTGCTATCGAAAGCATAAGAAAAACCTGAGGCAAGCTGTGAAACACTTAAGGAACGCGGAGGCCCTCCCCAACGAAAAGGGTTCCTTCTTCAGGGCCCCGACTGTACAGGGGCCCAGGGACACACGAAGAAAGACGCACGAATCCCATGATTCCTGATATATTTTCCCCTACATTCTGGGAGTCCGTCTTCCCCCCCCGCTTCCCACATGTTCCTGGGGGATCGACGATTCATGGCGTCTGTGCGCTTTTGTTCCCCTCCTGAGAGACCCCCTGGCGCCTCACTTCACTCGAGCCTGGCATCTTCGCCCAGTTCCAATGTCCAGGACCCTCTCGGGTCAATCTGACTCGAAAAGTGGAGCAAAAAGATGGGGTCTGCGGTTCCGGTCGTGCGTGTTCGGGATGTTGCAAGGTTCTCACTACGTCGGATCCCAGGGGCATGTCTCGGAAGCTGGGCGAGGGCTGGCAAACCCGTGGCTGCTAAAAACAGTCTTCCCGGAATAATGAAACAAACTCCCGGAATAAAACTCAAAACACTAACTAGTAAACAAGCCGCTTCCAGGAAGAAAACAACAACAAAAAACGGGGCTCCGTTTTAGCAGCCACGGGTTAGCCAGCCGTCGCCTGGCTTCTGAATGGCAAGGGCTGGGGCTCAGAAATCGATCCCTGTACCTGTTCTGGGGTGCTTCCTGGTCAGGATTTCAAGGCTGGTCCAGCCGCGACGCAGAACCCCCTGGAGGCCCAGAAAGGGCGAACAAAAACGAAACTCAATCCTCTGTGGTGGGGGCCTGCCCAATGGGGTCCGAGCAGGTGGGGTCGCAGGATCTCGGCGAGGTCGGCGATGCAGCGGCGACGTCCGCATGGAGAATATCGGGCTCCACATCGAGCCGCATCGCCGATGAATCGGCGTTGCGGCGCGATCCTCCGAACCCATCTGACTACTCGGACCCCATCTGGAAGCCTGGAAGGTCAGAAATCGGTCCCAGGACCAGTTCCTGGGCGTGTACTGGCCAGGGTTTCAAGGCGGATCCAGCCATGGCGACGAGGAACCCCCTTGAGGCCCACAAAAGGCGGAAAAAACAAGATCTGTTGAAGGGCCAAACCATATGCAGTTGTGAGTACCGGGGTGTACCAAAGTCGGTGGAGCTCCCTATGGAACCACGAGCCTTGTGAGGGGTGTGCCGGAATTGGGCGGCGCTGCCATGCGAACTTTGCAACTTGGGCGTGTGCCGAAATGGGCGCGGTGCCGCCATACGAACCCAGCCTCTGGCGCATCCGGTGGAGCTACATGAGGGGTCACGAGCCCTGTGAAGGGTGTGCCGCAACGAGTGCGGTGCCGCCGTGCGAACGCGACCGCGGGGGCCTTCGGTGGAGCCCCCTGTGGGGCCACGAGCCTTGTGAGTGGCGTGCCGTAATGGACGTGTTGCCGCCATGCGAACCCAGCCACTGGGGCTTTCGGTGGAGCTCCATGTGGGGCCGCGACGCTTGTGAGGGGTGTGCCGCAACGAGTGCGGTGCCGCCGTGCGAACGCGACCGCGGGGGCCTTCGGTGGATCCCCCTGTGGGGCCACGAGGGGTCTTCGGTGGAGCTCCAGATGGGGCCACGATGCTCGTGAGAGATGTGCCGAAATGGGCGCGGTGCCGCCATGCGAACGCAGCCTCTGGGGCCTTCGGCGGATCCCCCTGTGGGGCCACGATCCTTGTAAGGGGCGTGCCAAAATGGGCGCGGTGCCGCCATGCAAACGCAGCCCTTTGTGCCCTCGATGGAGCTTCATAAGGGGTCACGAGCCTTGTGAGGTGTGTGCCGAAATGGACATGCAGAGGGCAGAGGCAAGGATGGGAGGAAGGGGGAGGGGGAAAGGCAGGAGAAGTTGAGACGCGGGCCGCTATCTCTTGAAAACGAGGACCCGGCACCACAGGATGATTGGGAAAGGCGAAACTCGATCCTCTTGTCTACACGTAAGAGTGGCCCTGGGCAAGAGTGACCTTCGATGTGCGGCTCAAGGGGACCGCGGGCCAACGCTGGGACGGCCCCTGTGAGCCCGCACCGAAGGTCACTCTGGCGAAAGGCCGCTTTTGCGCGGAACCGATCCTCGACTGAGCAATTAAAGAAACGGCTCGTGTGGGAAACGGGTCACGGACAGCAGGGACTTCCCCCAGGACCAGCTCTTCATCCTGGGTCGTTTCCTGACCGCCCCGGGGCTCGCCGAGGGCCCCAGGAGCCCGAAAGCGGAAAAAACCTTGGGACCCGTGTCCCTCAGGACCCTCTTGCTTCATGTCGGCTGCGCGGAAACCGGCAGCCAGCTCGGGAGAAGTCGAATCGGCGGGAATCGGCAGGCTATAGTAAGGCACCCATGCCGAATTCGGCATCCGGATCGAAATCCCAAATCGAATCACATCGGAATCGGAAGACATCGGCATCGAATCGGATCGGATCGGAGGATAGGCGGCGAGCGAGGGGGGAAGCGAGAAGGGGCGGGCCTTCTCAGAAGGCTCGAAGTCCCCCGGCCTTCTGAGAAGTTTTCGAAGCCGTCCCCGAAGACACAAACAAATTTCTCCGGAGCCGCACGGCCTTCGGAGAAGCCCCACCGCCTTCCGAGAAGCCCTTCTCCTTCTCCCTTCCCCTCCCCCGCTCGCCGCCGAGAGGAAGCGAAACGATCCCTGCGATGGTGCCCGGGCCAGCAGATGGGCATTGGCAGAACTGGGTTTAGTGGGACCTGGTTTCGTAATGTGTGCTGGGGGGCGCCCCCCCGCCCCGTTCCACTGACCGGAACTGCCGTCGCCCGAAGAAAGCACCAGCTGTGGCAGACCCGGTTCAGTGACTCTGGCCAACTTGGGGGCTTCCGGGCCCTGCCACTGTCCGGGTGCCCCCTTGCCTGGGGTCTTGGCTCTACCCGCAGCGGGCCCCCGGCCCCGGAAGCGCCTCTCCTCCTCCCTTCCGAGAAGGCCCTTCTCCTTCCCCCTTGCCCCCCCCCCCGCTCGCTCGCCGAGGGGAAGCGAGACGATCCCCGCGATGGTGCCCGGGCCAGCAGGCCCCCGGCCCCGGGAGCGCCTTCCGGGCCTCCTCCGCCGCGGCCCTCTCGGCCGCGTCCGCGTCGCGCCGCGCCGACTGCGCGGCGCCCTCCGCGGAGGCGATCTGCGCCTCGTCTCGGGGCCGCGGGGAGAGCGGCGCCCGAGGGCCCCACGAGCTGGCGCTCGGGTCGTCGTCTCCCGTGGGGCGCAGAGGGGCAGACAGTCAACCATTATAGGAAGGATGCGCGATAAGGATGCGCGATAAGGATGCGCGATAAGGATGCGATAGGATGCGATAAGGAATGATGCGCGATAGGAATGATGCGCGATAGGATGCGATAAGGATGCGTGATAGGAAGGATGCGCGATGAGGATGCGATGGGAAGGATGCGCGATAAGGAAGGATGCGCGATAAGGAGAAGGACGCCCATTTCGAAGCTATTCGAGCGGGGCGCGGCCTACGAAAATGGCCAAGGATGGACCGAGGAGGCAAGGATGCAAGGGTACCCCTTGGGAAGCTGCCCCACTGTACTGGTAGCATGGGGTCCTCCCTGGAGGCGTGCCTCCGACCCGAACATGTTTCACAGGCGCAACTGGCCTATCGTTTCCCGAGCGGTGTGGCCAGAAAGCGCCCGCCACCGAGCTTATACTATAACGTTTCTCGGCGCGCGCATCTCTCCCCGCTGGGGGCAACGCGCGCACAGTACTGGTATGTTTGGGTGGCGCCGAACCCAGGTAGATGGCGACCGCCGAACCCTGCCCCCACCAACCCGCTGCCCATCGAGCTGCCTGCATCGTGGATCAGCGAGGACAACTAGGGTTCGGCTTCCGCCGCCCACCAGGGAAGCGGTGACGCTTGGGCGCTTGGGCGGGGTGGGCGACGTCGGGGCGGGCGTACGCTACGACCGCCACCAGTTCACGCGCGAATAACAACAGGGAGGGCGAAAGGGGGGTCAAGCACCCCTCCCCCCACGGACGATCGTTACCGTTACCCGCGGGGAAGGTTTGGCATGGGTAACTGCCGTCACGCGCCAGAGAGTCTAAAAAAAAAAATATGAACAACCAAAAAACAAGGCTTTGGAATACCTTCGGAAGCGGGCCGTTGCCCGGGGGGTGTGGCTCAGGTATCGGCCGTTACGCACCAGAGGGACTGAGTATCGTTTAACCGATCCCCATCCCCAGCGGCGTGGCCTGGGCCCCACTGGCCGATTTACCCCCCGAGATGGGGATGTAGGCTGTTCTCTTCGGGTTTCGAGGGGTGTATCCCCAACTGTAATTTGGTGGGGGTATCGAAGGGGATGGGGATGGGGATGGGGATCGGTTAAACGATACCGAGGGACAGCAACAGCATCAGCAACAGCAGCAGCAGCAACAACGACAACAGACGGTCCGCTCCGATCTGCCCGCGTGCCAGTCAACACGTATGTTCCAACCCTCGGTGCCCGCCCTCTGTGTTCGATCGTACCCCCTGGGGACATACATTCCTTACCTGTCACGCGCATTTAGCGCATGCCCTAGAACAGAAGGAATAGAGCACAACAGCAGCAGCAGCAACAACAGCAGCAACAGAAACAATAACAGCAACATAAACATCAGCCATCAACTTAAGACTGTTCGCTCTTCTCTGCTCGCGTGCCACTCAACACGTATATCCCAAACCCTCAATACAAGACCACTTCATCTTCGATCGCACCCCCTCAGAGGTTGATCTTTCCGACCTGTAACGTGTATTTCGTGCAGCCCCTAAGGCAGGGGAAGAGAGGACGGATGGAAGGCAGGGACAAGGGGCAGGCGGGTCGCTGAAGCGTGCGCCCTGCATGAGTCGCGAGGAAGTCTCACGCAATAGCGCGATTCCCAGGTAGATCGTGAAGACATCCACAGCGAGAGCGCGACTTCTGAGTGCCGAGGGCGCGTGAAGAAATTGCGAGGAAGTCCCACGCGGCGGCACGACTCCTAGACAACTTGTGAGGGACTCCCGCGCGAGAGCGCGATTTGAAAATAAGCTGCGAGGAAATGTCCGGCGGGAGCCGTTGCTGGTGTAGTCCGGGGCCCAATAACCCAGTTTGGTGACCCTCGCTTCCCTTTGTAAAAAAGTGCGAGCACCGAGAAAATAACTTCATGTCATAACATACAATGGTTACCGCATGAAGATGAACAATACTTATGATTGCATTATTCTTTCGAACTGAGAATGCCACAACAATATCAACAGAAACAACAACCAAAACAACAAGAACAACTGACTGTTCGCCAAGTTCTGCTCGCGCGCCATTCAAAACATTTTTGTGCCTATATCCTTGGTTCCCGCCCTCTTCATCATCTTCGATCGTACCACCTTAGGGGTATATCTTTCTGACGAGCAACGAGTATTTCGTGAAGCCCCTAAGGCTGGACAGATGGAAGGAACAAGGGGGAGTGAGGAGGATGGAGCACGAGAGAGAGAGTAGCAGGAGGAGGGCTAAGAGGAGAAACCTCGTGGAAGAACCAGACGGGCTGATCGAGCGGGCAGACCCTAACGGGCGGGTCTGGAAGGCGGGCCCAGACGACCAGATCGAGCAGGCGGGTTGCTGAAGCGTGCGTCCTGCATGAACCGCGAGGAAGTCTCAAGCGACAGCGCGAGTTTCAAACATTAAGGGGAGAAATCCACAGCGAGAGTATGATTTCTAGTGCCGAGGGCGCGGCGTCTGAATCAATTGCGGGGAAGTCCCACGCGAGAGCGCGATTCCTGCATAAACTGTGCGGAACTCCTGCGCGAGGGCGCGATTTGAGAATAGATGTGAGGAAGTACTAGGCGGGAGCCATTGTTGTTGTAAGCCGTTGTTGTTGTTGCTGTTGTTGTAAACCGGGGGCTGGGGGCACAGTTTGGTGACACCACACTGTCCGTTGTTAGAAAAACAGGGTGCGAGCACTGGGAGGATCACTTGAATTGAGAAATACACGAGTTACTGGAGAAAGGGGATCAACAACAATAACTTAGGAATAAGAGCTCATCAGCAGCAGCAGCAGCAGCAGACGCAACAATAAACATAAAAACAACAACAGCAGCAGCAGCAGCAATAGCAACAACAACAACAACAACAACAACAATTACTAGCACGTGGGGACAGTCCGTTCTCACCAGTGCCAGGGTTTTCATAGGAGGCGGGCAATACCCCCACTTTGTGGGGGGGCCGGTTCAAGCTCTACCAAATTTCCAAACGACTCTTCGCCACCACCCACACCCAGCTTCCCGCCCTATGACGTTCGGACACTTCACTTCGTGGCATGCGGACGACCGTGGCTACTATTCAGGGCCCCGCGGCCGACGACGACGGCGTGCGCGCGCGAAGAAAAAACGAATGTGTCCCGCATGGTATTATTTGACAGGGATGATGGCCCTGGCAGGTGCGCAACCGTTGTCGCAGAAGTTCGAAAAAGTTGCTCGCAAAAGCCCGTTTGACAGAAATGTTGAAAAAGTGTTGGGT